GTCTCCTTTTCGTCCGCAGCTAACTGTTGCATGACTCGCAGAGCAAATATGATGCTGATCTAGTTCCGAACATAACTGTTAAGCATGCATACTCCTTGATGTGATCGTTCTTATCGGATTTCCATAATATGCGCTGATACTGGGCATCATCCCTTGGAATATTGATGCACCTGTACATTTTCTCTACATCAGCCATAAACACGAATCTTAGACCACGCCAATTGAGAATAACGCCAGGCAGCTGCAAGTGTAATTTTGGCCCAATTGCTAAAATGTCATTCAATGGGTTCCCATCACTTGTCTTGCTCGAGCCGTCGAACACAACTCGGACCTTCGTAGTTGGTGATGTTTCCTTTATAACTGGGTGATGCGGTAGATGATGATTGCATGATGTTATAAACCGTAAGCGTAACCCGTTCCATTTGGCCCAGTTCCAGATACTCATTAATGGTGTGACAATATGCTTCTTTTAACTTAGGGTCTGCACACAGGCGCCTGTCCAGATAATCTAATCGCTTCAGTGCGCTTCGATATGATAAACCAATCACTAGGGATCCTAAATATAACTCAATTCCTGTAGACGCTTCGGTGATTCTTTCGTTCGCTAAACCGTTGATTTTTATATCTATATACATATATATATATATATAGATATTTTCCTTGTCAGCCGTAGTTGTTGGGCTGCATTCTCTGAAATAAAAGATGCTTGGGAACCCTGATCCAAAAAAGCTCGAAACTTCAAGGGGTAGCTATCTTTGGACTCGATAAGTACCATTGCTGTTGGTAACAAGACCTCCTGTCTTATAAGTGCTCTATATCTTTAGCAGCTTTCTCTGATAGCGAATCCTTTAAATAATGGAAGCGATGTAAGTCGGTAAGTCTTTAGCAGCTTTCTCTGATAGCGAATCCTTTAAATAATGGAAGCGATGTAAGTCGGTAATTCTCTGACATTGATGGACACTCGATAGAAACACTTCCTTGAATGCCGGCCAATCTATGAATTTACTGCTGAATGTTGGCAGCCTAACCGTGTCCAGCTTCACTTCCTCCATAAGGGTTATACACTGTTCATTCATAGTCTGATGCAAACACGTATCATTGAATGCGGTAGATGCCGGATGTATTTGCTCCTTGTACTCATGCAACTCATTACGTAATTCTGCTACTCCCACCATGCAGGTCTCCTCAACACACATCCCTGATTGCCGGATCAAAATACCTTGTTTTAATCTCCTCATTGTCTCGCACTCGTACAAGCTGCTGATGGTTGCGTTTAAATTCTGCGTTAATTTCTCCAGCGATTCGAGCCTGGCTTCAAGCTAGGTTTCCGTATGTACCGATTCATCAGCCTTGTATTTTTTCAGTGGTTTCTCCAACGAGGCCAACAGTGCAGTTTTTTCAAAAGTTAAATACATGAGGTTTTCGGCCATTCTGATCACCTAACCTAACACGTTAGTGTCAAATTGCACTCACCCTTTTAAGTAAGTCTTCAGCAATCACAATCCAATGTCCAATCACAAACTCCTCAGTCCAATCGCCAAGAATGAATCCTCACAGGAGGCACCAATAATATGTTGGATATCGGCTGCGCCATGTGCGGAGCCCCAAGCTGCTCGTAGATATGATGCGGCCTACGGCGTGGTTACCAACCGAGGCGGCTTTGAGGTTTTTGCACGATTTTTGAGAATGATGAGATAAACAAAGAATCTCAGAAGGTTGCTCACATAAGCTCACAAGCGGGGTTGTTCATTTTTAAAGACGTCAACTTTTATTGAATTTAACCTTATTTTTATAATAATTAAATTGACCTACACAGAGCATAAGTCCGGTGACTTGATGATCCCAAACTTTTTTCTTATATAATTGAGTGTGAGCGAGGAGCCTCCGTGCAAGGTACTAGCGTGACTATAATTTACGACAAGACTCGTGAAATAATGTTTATAGGGTAATATATATGGATGTTTCTCATTCGCTGGCAACAAGGCATTCCGCAATCTTCCTCCGAGCCGTAGGACGCACTCCTCCAAATCAAAATATGGAAATATATCTCTTGGGACCGGCTTGCTAGAAGAGAGTGCTTTCCTTATCTTTTCAAAGCAGTCCTTCTGCACCAATCTTATTACTTCTCTGAGGCTTTCCTCTCATTCATCTGTTGATACCTCAGTTCGCTTATGCTCAGACTCTATTATGCAACAGTTTCGAGTAAAACATTGAACATAGGCCATAACTCGAAGAAGTCGTGTATACGATGAATATTGACCTACGAACATCGAGCTAGGCATCTCTTCCAATGATATCTTGTGGCAAGTCAAGCTTCTTGTCTCAATACCTACATTTGAAAGTTACTGTTGATCAATGTTATTGCAAGGCCATCCTTCTTCCGGCCCCTGTAACCACTGCGGTCCATGCCACCACAGTTCCCATGACGTCAACTTAGATACGCTAATTCCCCGACTCAGATGGTCATTCGAGGGATTCGAGATCAACAGAATATTGTTTATGCGATTCGAAACAAATACCTTCCAGTTTGCACCTCCTCCACGGATCCAACTGATGGTTATCATTGAGTCGGACCAAAAAATAGTACTGCAAAATTTTAGTTTAATTCGCAAACTCTGTTTTAAATACCAATACATTTTTTGCGCTTCAAGAGCAACACACAGCTTAGCTCTGGGTATGTTTAACTGTGGCTTAACAGGCGAGACCTTACATTTTGATAGCAGCAACTGCGTATGAAATGCGTGATCCCCGGTGGGAACACGTAAAGATGCAACCGCTCTATAAGCTTGCTTTGATGCATTACAAAAGATGTGTAGTTCTGCTGCTGCGTTATATATTCTCCATGTTATATATCGTGGTATTCGTATGTCTGAAATATTGGGCAACTCCGTAAAAAAATTCTCCCATTCTCTTCTAACAGCTGTTGGCACTATGTCATCGCAGCCAATCTTATCCTTCCATAGGCGCTGCATCAGTATTTTCCCAGTTACAACAATCGGACGCAGCCATCCCATAGGATCGAATATCCTCGTAACTGATGACAGAATTGATCGCTACGTAGGTAAGCCTGCTGATAGTTCAAAATTGCAACAATCCCTTCGTTTCTCGAAATTCGATTGGTATCCTTTCTAACAATTTTGGGCAATTACTTGCCCATTTTCTCAACTCAAATGTGCCTATGCGTAACACACCAATGACTTGAGTCTGGATACCTTCCGCCTCTGCAACACTATCCGCTTCAGATAATATGTCATCAACATACATCTGATGTTTCACCACATCCACTGCCAATGGAAATGTCTCCTTTTCGTCCGCAGCTAACTGTTGCATGACTCGCAGAGCAAATATGATGCTGATCTAGTTCCGAACATAACTGTTAAGCATGCATACTCCTTGATGTGATCGTTCTTATCGGATTTCCATAATATGCGCTGATACTGGGCATCATCCCTTGGAATATTGATGCACCTGTACATTTTCTCTACATCAGCCATAAACACGAATCTTAGACCACGCCAATTGAGAATAACGCCAGGCAGCTGCAAGTGTAATTTTGGCCCAATTGCTAAAATGTCATTCAATGGGTTCCCATCACTTGTCTTGCTCGAGCCGTCGAACACAACTCGGACCTTCGTAGTTGGTGATGTTTCCTTTATAACTGGGTGATGCGGTAGATGATGATTGCATGATGTTATAAACCGTAAGCGTAACCCGTTCCATTTGGCCCAGTTCCAGATACTCATTAATGGTGTGACAATATGCTTCTTTTAACTTAGGGTCTGCACACAGGCGCCTGTCCAGATAATCTAATCGCTTCAGTGCGCTTCGATATGATAAACCAATCACTAGGGATCCTAAATATAACTCAATTCCTGTAGACGCTTCGGTGATTCTTTCGTTCGCTAAACCGTTGATTTTTATATCTATATACATATATATATATATATAGATATTTTCCTTGTCAGCCGTAGTTGTTGGGCTGCATTCTCTGAAATAAAAGATGCTTGGGAACCCTGATCCAAAAAAGCTCGAAACTTCAAGGGGTAGCTATCTTTGGACTCGATAAGTACCATTGCTGTTGGTAACAAGACCTCCTGTCTTATAAGTGCTCTATATCTTTAGCAGCTTTCTCTGATAGCGAATCCTTTAAATAATGGAAGCGATGTAAGTCGGTAAGTCTTTAGCAGCTTTCTCTGATAGCGAATCCTTTAAATAATGGAAGCGATGTAAGTCGGTAATTCTCTGACATTGATGGACACTCGATAGAAACACTTCCTTGAATGCCGGCCAATCTATGAATTTACTGCTGAATGTTGGCAGCCTAACCGTGTCCAGCTTCACTTCCTCCATAAGGGTTATACACTGTTCATTCATAGTCTGATGCAAACACGTATCATTGAATGCGGTAGATGCCGGATGTATTTGCTCCTTGTACTCATGCAACTCATTACGTAATTCTGCTACTCCCACCATGCAGGTCTCCTCAACACACATCCCTGATTGCCGGATCAAAATACCTTGTTTTAATCTCCTCATTGTCTCGCACTCGTACAAGCTGCTGATGGTTGCGTTTAAATTCTGCGTTAATTTCTCCAGCGATTCGAGCCTGGCTTCAAGCTAGGTTTCCGTATGTACCGATTCATCAGCCTTGTATTTTTTCAGTGGTTTCTCCAACGAGGCCAACAGTGCAGTTTTTTCAAAAGTTAAATACATGAGGTTTTCGGCCATTCTGATCACCTAACCTAACACGTTAGTGTCAAATTGCACTCACCCTTTTAAGTAAGTCTTCAGCAATCACAATCCAATGTCCAATCACAAACTCCTCAGTCCAATCGCCAAGAATGAATCCTCACAGGAGGCACCAATAATATGTTGGATATCGGCTGCGCCATGTGCGGAGCCCCAAGCTGCTCGTAGATATGATGCGGCCTACGGCGTGGTTACCAACCGAGGCGGCTTTGAGGTTTTTGCACGATTTTTGAGAATGATGAGATAAACAAAGAATCTCAGAAGGTTGCTCACATAAGCTCACAAGCGGGGTTGTTCATTTTTAAAGACGTCAACTTTTATTGAATTTAACCTTATTTTTATAATAATTAAATTGACCTACACAGAGCATAAGTCCGGTGACTTGGGGTATTTTAAGGTATGTATGTATGTGTGCACTGTTCGAGCAAGTACCAAATTTTAAACTTTTATATATAATAGGCTGATGCAAAAACATTTGGATCGTTTACACGCTGTTCGCGCTTTAGAAAGTTTTCTTGAGTGAAACTAGGCGTGAGTACATATATAATTTATCGAAAAGAACTAAATTTCATAATGGCAAAAATCTTTTCTCAGTCAGAAGTCTCGAACATGAGTCTGCGTCTGACTCTGCCTGCTACTCGGGGCAAGGAAGGACGACATGGAACTGACCCACTCTGATGGTGTGGGCGTGGTCTCGCCCGTGGCCGCTTCTTAGCCTATCCTTCTGGATAGCGTCGGTGAAAAGTGCGCCGAGGGTATGGCTGACGTGCACCGCTCAGCCGAAAACTGGACTGGGTGTTAAACTGTTGGCCTCTCTGGGCCGAGAGCTCGTCCCTTCGGTGCCGGAACCGTGGGTCGTTTCTTTTATTTATTCTCTTTTCCCTTATTTGTTCGTCCTGTGTCGCATGTAAGTTTTAAGTTGTTTAATTTTTGTGTATCTCGGCACAATGTTTAAATTAAAGTTTCGTTATTAATCAGCAAAAAAATTCTTCCTTTTTTTTTGGTAGTGCGCGTCGGCTTAGTTGGCCGGTTTTTGTTCTGTACTTTTTGCACCGGGTCGACATGAAAAAAAGAGAAATGCGGCACACGCATACATTCAAATGTGGTCACCGTTGCTGCCCATATGCACAACTGCATTTCTAGGTCAACGGCCCAGTTGTAGGCCAAGCGCATTAACAAGGGCATCCAATCTGATCAATACCCTACGAGCGAATCGGGCGGGCAACCGCCTATACTCTCCCAATATTTTTTCGCTCAAGGCAGTAGATCCTGAGCTAGGCGTTGCAACCCCTTCGAAATTTGGGCGCTCTAAGGTGTTTAGGGCCCGCACCGATATATGGATAGACCTTTTTTTTTTTTTTTTTTAACGCGAATCCCGATGCAACGTACTGCATCCCACCTCCCGCCCAACCGACCGATTATGTGTACAAATACAATTACAAATAAAAATAGGACTATCTACTTGCTAAATAGTTTAGAATAGAAGACTTTATACGAGGAAGAGAAGCTTCCGAGCAGAATACTCTGTAATGCTTGTTATAGTCATCACAGAGAACCCTGAACGGTTCATGGAAGGCATAATTAGTTGAGCAAAATTGAAGCGATAAAGGTACAAAATTACGTGTTAGTCTAGTAGGGATAGAGAAATTTAATTGGCTAGTCAACACAGAAGAGTCGATTTCACCAGTAATTAATTTATGAATAAATATTACACCCAGCATGGTTCTACGATTAATTAAAGAAGGAAGGTTAATTATCAGAAGTCTACTGGAGTATGACGGTAACCGCACACAAGGATCCCAATTTGAACCACTAAGGGCAAACAACAAGAATTGTTTCTGAACGGATTCAATTCTGTCCTGATGGGTAGCATATTGTGGTGACCAGATACATGAGGCATACTCAAGAATAGGTCGTACCAAAGATATATAAAGTGTTTTTGTCGTGTACGGATCGTCAAACTCCTTCGACCATCGCTTGATGAAACCCATAACTATTAAATTCGATTTCACCAGTAATTAATTTATGAATAAATATTACACCCAGCATGGTTCTACGATTAATTAAAGAAGGAAGGTTAATCATCAGAAGTCTACTGGAGTATGACGGTAACCGCACACGAGGATCCCAATTTAAACCACTAAGGGCAAACAACAAGAATTGTTTCTGAACGGATTCAATTCTGTCCTGATGGGTAGCATATTGTGGTGACCAGATACATGAGGCATACTCAAGAATAGGTCGTACCAAAGATATATAAAGTGTTTTTGTCGTGTACGGATCGTCAAACTCCTTCGACCATCGCTTGATGAAACCCATAACTATTCAGGTTTACATAATGCTGCAGCGCAGTATCTAAGCACGCAAGCAGGAACACCATCAGGGCCCGGTGAGTAAACCGGCTTGATAGTGTTTAGGTCGCTAAGAAGCGAACTTTCGGTAATACTGGGATTAAAAATGCAGTTTGACCTCTGTAACTGATAAGGATAAGGTTGATTTTTATTATACCTAGAGGAGGAGTAGGTAGTTTGAAAAAAGTTTGCGAACAGATCGGCTATGCCTGGATCAGTGTTCGCGCTCTCATCTGCAAACTTAACCGAAGAAGGCAAAGTAGATGTCTTTCGTTTAGAATTGACAAAGTTAAAAAATTGCTTAGGATTATGTGAAAATTGAAGGCGACAACGCCGAAGGTAATTCTTATAGCAGATGGAATTTTGGGTGGAAAAATTTGATCGGGCAACTGCATAGCGGGAGAAATCAGAGTGATTTCCCGATTTCTTAAACTTTTTATAACACCTCGACTTCACGTTTTTTAACCTCATAAGTTCATTTGAGAACCAGGGAGGCCTATCAGGCCTCGCTGGGTGATCAAGAGGAACGCAGACATCAAAAATCGAGTACAAGGTGTCATAAAAAAGTTTCAAGGCAACATCAATGTCTGCACAATTGTACAGTTGGGACCAGTCGACTTGCAGAATAAGATCATTTAGCTTATGAAAATCAGCCTTTCGGAAGCAACGCATACGTTCAGCTAATTCCGATTCCTTGATAGGGACTCGGGCTGGTAAATCAATGACCATTTCCAGAGTTGGATGAAAAGGGTCTTCAGGAAGTGTAAGCGGATTGATCCTGTGCACAACACTGTTGAACGAATCCAACACGAAAATTAGATCAAGAGATCTGTTTCTTGAATTGCGCACACGATTAACCTGATTAACCCGTAAGGACATTTCATGTAGACCATCAATAAATTCGTTTGACGATGACGGCAACAGAAAGTTTGAGTCTAATGGCGATGACCACTCGACAACAGGAAGATTAAAGTCCCCAAGAACTACAAAAAGGTCTCTATCAGAAAGTAGGGAGGAGATAGATTTAATAGCATTAAGATGGGTTTGATAGGTAGACAAATTAGATAGAGGAGGTAAATATGAACATGTAATAAAGTTAGAAAAAGTACCAAATACAACTCTTACAGCCACCAACTCGATCTCAGTGATGGGAAGATCAATGCGTTCCGACGAAAGAGCAGACTCGACAGCTATAAGTACTCCTCCTCCGATACGGGAAGCTCGATCGCATCTGTAAGTGGTGTATTTGGAGGTAAAAATTGAAGAGTCTGAGATGTCCGGCTTCAGCCGGGTCTCAGTAAAAGCGATAATTTGAAAATTAAAAGCAAGAGAGTCTAAATATAGTTTAGCGAGTTTAGATTTAAGACCTCTAACATTCTGGTAGGCAAGCTCGAAAGATGAAATTAGTTTTTTGACGCAGCAACTAAAGTTGATGCGCCATTAGAAATAGGTTGTAATAAAATCGGAGTCCGATTTTTCTTTTTGGCCTTATATTCTTTTACTATTAACTGCTCCGGCTAAAACTCTTTACAACAAATATCAGTAAATATTTCTGGCGGAACACTTATTTTAAAGGACGCAATATCCCTTTCATAAGCGAACTTAAATTTCTCCACCAGTATACCTGGGGCTTGAATTTTTGCCTGTATAAAGGCTTTTACATCATCTGACGAAAAGTGAGGGGCAAGCCTAGAAACAAAAATAAGTCTCTTTGGTGGAACACCGACTAGAGGCTTAGGCGCCACAGGTAGGACAGTGGGAACACTATTAACTATGGTACCTAAAACAGCCGGTAGTCCGGACGACGAGCCTTCTAGCGGCTGTTGTAAATTTAATTGTTGCTGTCGCCCTTTCGGAACACCCACGACAGCGGACGACACGGATAATTCGACTGGTTTTTCTCGTGCCGATGTCACACTTTTCGGGACAGAATCAGTGTCCACAGCAGACCTCACAGCTACCGGAGTAACAAACGAGATGAGCTGCTGTGTAATCGGTGTACTAGGCTGCTGAATAGCAGTCGGAGGCTGAAGGGTATTAGGCAACGGCAGATCACAAGAAGTGGGCTTTTTAGTCCCCGGAGAGTCATCTAACAGTTTAAGGCTATTAAATTGGGTGTCCAGGGCTGTGAGCTGATCGTTAAGTTTACGAAAACCAACAATCAGACCCCTAAAGGTCTGACGCATAAACGCCCGCATTTCACCATCAATCTCCCTACACGAGTCGCAACTATAGTGTAAACTATTTCGTTTGGCAACAGCATCCCCCACAAGACCAGTGTAACCCGCACATTTAGAATGCACTACATTATCACACAGCCAACAAGGTATGCTGGATTGACTTGCCGTAATTGGTATTTGGCAAGTTTTTATAAAACAGACAATTTTATGGTCCATTATTATGGGTCTCTACTGTAATAACGCAGCCAAATGTAAAAAGAGAGTTATTTAGATTAGATTAATAGCGTATGGAGCACCAACAAGCGGCAGAAAGGAGAAAAAGATCAAAGCGCAAGTTGAAAAAAAAGGTGAGAGAGCGCGAGAGTGCGAGAGTAGTCAATTTATAGATTGCTTGCTTGCCCACGAAATCTTGCATACCAGAGAGGCGATGTGCAGTTAAACATAAACAACAAACAACAACAAGAAGCTTACCCACAGAGCTAATAGCGGAAGCGCACAGACAAAAATGCACAAGAACACAAGTTTAAAAGAAACAATATTTAAATAACAAAAATGCACAGACCACAAGCATGCACTCGCGATAAATAAAAAATAAACCGAGAAGGCGAACAGAATAGTAGAAATATATAAAATATAAATAATTAAAACGCCGGTGTTTTATTAAATCAAAAACAAAACGGAGAGCACAAAAAAAACACGTCTGTTCGCTTCAAGTGGAGAACGATTATTGCGACTCCCCATGCAACATCACCCAAGAAATCACCTTGTCCATCAGACGAACTAGACGTTGGGCTGCATTGCCCAGACCAAATGGCATGACTCGAAACTGGTATAGTGGCCTACCTGCTACGGTAAGTGCGGTTTATGGCTCGCTTTTGTCATCTAGTTCGACTTGCCAATAAGCGGATTTCAGATTTACACTGGAGATGTGGTAGGTCTGGACTATCCTAGAAAGGCTGCCTTCTATACAGGGTAGTGGATACGCGTCTTTCACCGTCAAATTGTTGAGCTTGCGTGCATCGAGGCGAAAACAGTCTTTACCCGATCTTAGCACTACCATTGTGCGGTTACTCCATGGGCTGTTGCACTCTTCTATAACCCCCAAACTTCATCATCCACTACTTTCTGCATCGCTGGTGAAAACGGGTAGGGTCTATCTTTGAATGGTTGGGCACCTTCCACTAGGTGTGCTTCTCTAAGTCAGTCGTTCCTCATCTGCTACGTTAAAAATACAAAACCTCCCGCTTGCCCGCCTCAAACTCTATCCTTTCTTCCCTAGACAACTCCCATGAGTCCGGTTCACTTTCGAGTTCTTCCTCTTCTTCCGAATAGTGCGTCATCGACACGGCCAAGAGCTCTTGCCCTTGGAGTTCCGTGGCGATTTGCTTTTCGGGGCCCAAAGGGTCAAGGACTAGTTTAAATGCTCTCCAGAAATCA